ATAAAAAATTCTATCATCTTTGTGAACATTGCATGTTTTGTTTTACGTTACAAGAGTGCTAAGGAGTGATTTTCGCTAAAAATCTCAATTTCGAAAAAAATGGAGATACGAGGTTAACACAGAAAGGGGACGAAATACAATAATTAGATTTCTATGAAATCTACTGATAATAATGATTAAAATAAATTGTTTTTATTCTTTTGATGACATAGATAATTTATTTAATCAAATATTATGGTAAAAATAATGATACATCTCCATCATTCCTTTTTCGCACGGTTTTGAATTCAGCTAAAAAAAAAATTAATTAATTAAAAATTAATATAAGAATGAGATGATAAAAAAATCAGCATTAACTTACCGAAAAGAGTGTTTCATAGCATTTTATAAAAATAGGGTTACTATTTTCCGACCGAACGAACAAAATGCACATTAGATGATAAGGCATTTCTTCCAGATAATAATAAACCAAGATAGTGTATCTTTTTTCAGTCCCTACAACTTGAACTTGTGCTTTTCTAACTTCAATTTCCTTCAAATGTGTCCCGAGATCATCAGATCTTTCATCAACCACCTTACTCCAGCCATCTTCAGCAAATTTTCGCACATCGGGATTGTTCCCATCTAGTTTTAATTCATAAGTCGGAGCAATTTCTTCTGAATTCACTGTCGAAACTATCAGAACTATGGATGCGTATGCGCAAACAAAAAATAGCAGAAATTTACGCTCCATTTTCTTTTCTTATGAGTAATCACTTGAATTAGTTGAAAGTCAGCGACTAATTTGATTTTTTAATGCAAACGTTAATTCTTTGATAAGAATTTGAAAAGCAGAGATAAAAAATAACTTTTTAATGCTATCTGCTAATGGATGAGTCATCGTTGTCAATCATTATTATCAGTAATTAAAGTTATAAGGTACTTAAAAATTTCTAAGAATTGATATTATTGTGAAAAATTTGATAAAAAAACAATATTAATTTTAAAAAAAGGTCATTCGGCAGCCGAAATGGAAGAAAATTTTTTACCTTTAATTAATTTTATATCTTTCACAAAATCAAAAAATTTTGTTGAAATAAAATTTGAATAAATTTAAAAATTCATGATACACACTAATTCTGGAATAAATATGAGACTTATTAACAATTGAAAAAAATTATATAAAAAAAAGCGCCATTCGGCCACACCCGACATGGATCGGTAGATTTCTTGTTTGAATATTGACAAAAACACGTTATTAAAAGGCAATAATGTCCTAAAATTTATTTTTTATTAAATTTTTGCAAATAACGTTATGAGATCAACTACAAGAACAGTAACAGATGAAAGTCATTTGATGATAAAAGCTAACAATTCATTTATTCTTGATTTTTTTTTAATTTTCCCAACTACGAAATAAATTGAAAAAAGTATCAAAAGTCGACGAATAATAGCTTAAATTGAAGATAGTCATGTGAACTTTAAAATAAAGTTAATAGATTTAAGCTAACTTTTACGGTTTAAAAATTATTTAAAGAAAAAGGGCCGAAATACGTCCATTGAAAAATTTTTTGAAATTTTCAAAATCACGGAATTAATTAAGAAAATCATCAAAACTAGACGAATAATAGTTTAAATTGAAGGTAATTAAATGAAGTTTGAGATAAATTTAATAAATTTTATCTATCTTTTACATCTGGAAAATTATTTCCATAAAATATACGAAATTCAAAATTTTTTTAAAATAAAAAAACTTTTCGAACACCCACAACTCATAAACTAACTGGCCGATTTTGGTCATCTTCGAACTTGATCTTAGTATTGATCTACAGAATGAGCCCACAAAATTTCATAAAGATCGGTTGAGAACTGTGGGTGCAACCCTGCTGACATGGCACGTTATATATAAATACATAAATAAATTTTTGAGCCAATGGCATTTTTCAACATTACTCGATGAAATAAAATAGATTATGATAAAATTTTCTTAAAATTACGACATGACAACGGCTACAAAAGATAGATTTATAAAAAAATCTGCCTAAGTATTACAATGAAGATTTTAATTTTATCTTTTAAAAAAATTAATGCAAAGAAATTAAATTTCATCAAATGCCTACAGATTACATCAGTTTTGTCTAGAAGAATAAAATAACATGGAAATTGAATGTTCCTTGGACTTTTAGGTGCAATTTATTTAAATTTGATAAGTTATCGCATTTAAAAGTGATCTACAAAAATATGATTTTTTGAAAATTTTGAATTTTTCTCATTTCAAAACTATATAATCAATAGTTAAATTTATATAAAATCTACTAGAAAATTCAATCAAAAACTTTTTAGTAGACTTAAGATTCAATTTAGAAAATTAAAGTTTGAAGTAATAAAATTTAACAACTAATCAAATGAAAATTTTTATGATGACCTATAAGTAATAAAAGCTACTGATAAGAATATTAAATAATATAGTTACTGTTGAGTCAACCAGGCAAATGCAGATTTATTTATTTACTTATGAGTTGGTTGTTAAAGTTTTTTAATATTAAAAAACTAGAAAATTATGCTTGGTACATTATTATTTACGTACTTATTGAGTATTTCAAGCGATAATATTCTTGTCGTTGAAGCCGGAATCGAGTGTCCTAAAGGATGTCCAGATGATTACAATCCAATTTGTGCGCATGGAATTTCGTATAAAAATAAATGTGTGCTGTTACAGCAGATTTGTAATAAAAAATTGAGTATGTATATTCATATTTTCTGTAATATTAAGAATGGAACTCACTTCAAAGTTTTTTCGACTAAATTTAATTGGAACAACTTCTGCGCATGTGCGCTACGAGTTCCAATAGGTTCCATAAGCATACACATAACCTGCTGACAAAGTTTTGTAAAGCATTGATTAAATTTTACAATTAAAATAGAAATTTGAATAAAAAATGAATTATTAATTTATTTATTAAATAATTAAAATTTTTCAGATGAACAAGTACTTTCTGAAACCGAAGTATGTCCGTCATACGACATTAGAGCAGAAGCTAAAGACAAATCCGTAGAAGCGATTGACAAAAATGGCGTGATATTTAGATCAGACTTTGCGATTAAAAATGAAGACTCTGGAGAATCAACTTCGGATGAATACTTATGAATTATTTTTACTGTAATTTAATTTATTTACATATTTAATTAATACAGTGGCTGAATTATAAGTGTTAATGTTAAACAATTAAACGTTTAATTTTGGTTTTCTTATTTTTAACCAATCAATTTATAGGATAATTACAATTTCTAAGCATACATTAATAAACTATGGTAACGATAACTTTACAAAAATGCGCTTTTTATTTAAATCTAAAAAAAAAATCAGCTTATTTTAGGAATGATTATTATATACTTTACTTAAGTAATTAAATCATCTACAGATACTTACACGTTTTAAATATTTAATAACGATATTTAGTTTCAAGTTTTATGATGAGCTGAAATTCGAAATTATTTGATCAGATTTTTTTTATTTTTTTAATTAATTAAAATTATTAATTTATTTCCAATTATTAATTCTGAATTAAGGAGATTTTTTTTCATAATTATTAATTAAAAAAAAAAAAAAATTTTATCAAAATTAATTTTATAAAAAATTTTCATCAATTTACAAATTTCAACTCTTTAAATTTTTTATAAAAATAAAGCAAAAAAGTTTCTGCCGAGTATCAACAAGGACCAAATTTTTTCAGAAAAAAAATTAAAAAATTTTTCACTTTAAAATTTAGAATTTTAATATTAATTTTTTGTAATTTGATACTCTTACAAAATTATCAGAATTGAAAATTAGTTACAATTATTGTGGCAAAAATTTATTCATCACAAGCTTAAATTGAATAAATAAGTCTACCGTATAACCTCATAGATCACTTAGATTACTTTGAATAATAAAATAGCATTTAACTTAAATTTATGACTGATTAGGCTGGCAAGCAGCGTAGGCCTTTTTTTTGGCTAAATCTGTCGCCTTTTTCGCCGCGTCCTTCATTTTTTCAGCCTTGTCGTGGAACGAGTGCTGTAAGTCTTCAGCCGCGTGGCTCAATTTCGTCATTGGCTCGTCAAAATTGTTCATATCTAAAGTAAGCTGCGCGAAGTTCGGGTTGATCAGCGTGGCAGTGGCCGGAAACATGTGCGCCAGAACGTAATTGAACCCGCCGGTCATTTTTCCGCAATTTTTCTTGAACCTATCTAATCCAAAGGCCTTGATCGCGTGACCAAATCCAAAAACTGAGCTGTCGATCCAGGCTAACCTGTGAGCTACCGTCCACTCTGGGTTGTCTTCAGACACTTTGTAAGTTACTTTTTCAATGACACTCTGAAAATATTTTTAATTATTATTACACAGGAAAAATTTATTGTTTAATTTAAAAATAATACATCGGAGTCAAGGGTGGCATTTTATTAAAAATTACAAAACGCGATATGAATATAAGTTAGTTAAAAAACTAAAAAATACACTTGGATAAAAAACCGAATTAAAATGTAAAAAACAATTATTAATAAGTTTAAAATAAAAAGAGAGTAATTAACAAAAAATTTTATTTTGTTGTAAAAAAGCATAGGATGCTTGATATCAATTATTATAAATATTTATTTTAAACCCATATATTATTATTATTATTTTATAAAAAATAACGACGATCTAATTAGCAATTTATCTAACTCCTTATTTTTTAGAGGGTGATTTTTTAACATTTTGATGTTGCAATAATCCAATTATAAATTATTTGAAGGATTCAAACCTAAATATTATATCTTTATTAGATATTAATGATATTAAATGGTTTTTTAAAGTGATAATAAATTTTGAACTAATTGTATTTTTCGTACAAATAGAAGATTCTCTAAAATGGAGTTAGACAATTTGCTAATTAGAAGGTCGATAAATCTTCTTCATTTGAAAAATCTACTTCCATTTTGACTGCCGAATGGCCTTTTTTTATTATTTATTATAAACCCATTATTATTTATTATTTTTCGAGTACTTTAATATTTATTTTTTTTTAGTCCACTCACCATAACTTTAGTGTATCCAAGATTGCGAGTGTAAGAAGTAAGTGTTTTTTCCTTGGGATCAACGACAGTCTCTTCGATTATTTTGACAACATTTTTACTGATGAATTTTTCACCCCATTTTGGAACGCGGTTTGTCTTTGTCAGCAGTCGTTTTGAATACAATTTACCGTCTTTTACTTCTCGAGTTATTGTATCTTCAGATAATACATGGGAGCTGAAATTAAATTTTTAGTAAAAAAAAACTTGGAAAATTTAATAAGACTTTTTTTTTATTATTTATTATTATTTTTGCTAATTTCTAACATAATTAAAAAAAAAAAAAATTATTTAATTTTTTTTTTAATAAATTATGACCAAGATTTTACTTTTTGGTATTTGAGTATATAGGTCTATTTTTATTAACTATTTAAGTATTAATGGAAATATTTATTATGATTATGGCGGTGATTATTATTTAATTATTGTATGTATTTAGTTAATAATATTATTTTAGTGTTACCGAAGGTGTGATTAAATTAAGAAATTAAAGTGGGAGAAATTATTTTATAGCCGAGCAAGTTTAGCAAGCAAAAGAAATCATTGTAAAAGAATTTAAAAGACTGGGAAATTATTCTAAGTCCCAAGCCGATTTAGTATGGGAAAGCGGCGAATGGATATAAAATGAAAGAAATGACAATTATTATAATTTAGGTAAGCGAAAATTTTCTAAGTCCCAAGCAAGTTTTAGTATGGGAACTCGACGAATGGATAGAGAATGAAAGACATAACGATTAAAATAATAAAGAATTGTGAATTTGACGAGACGAATGGACGGATAATGAAAGAAATGACGATTATTATTTTAAAGAAATTGTGTTTGAGAATTAAAAACTTAGAATTTGACGAACCGAATGGATAGAGAATGAAGGAAAGTCCAAAATTTTATCACGGAAAAGCAAGTCTTGTGACAGAGTGTTATTGTGGTGAATATTCTTCCATCAATAACAACTGGAGGGACATTACCTCGGTTCGTCTTGAACATTGGTAAGTACCTTTTGAACTCTTAGCAAGATTTGACTTCCCTGGATTTTTGACCTTCCGTCAAAACTCCAGTAGGTGATCATACGCCGTGTAGGTGGGGGTGAAGAGGATATTCTCCATTCGCTCTCGGGGTAGAGGTTTAGGCCCAGGGGTGACGGCTAGTCTCCTGGGGAAGCGGGGAACCAGCTTTTGAGTTGTAGTTCGCGGTTTTGGACGCTCACCACGAGTGAGGGAGTGTGTGTGAGAATTCTTATTTTTGTAAAGACCAGTTTTGATCGGATCTTCGTTACCGACGAAAGGTACGCGTGCGCTTACCGACGTAAGATTATTTGTTTTGAAATCGTCCCTGATAGCCAAACCGGTCGCAACTTTCCGTTGATTTGCTGCAGCAACTTGTCACCAAGTTGGCGGCAAGTCTTGGAAATGAACTCGGTTGTTCACCAAGTTGTCGGCAGAAATTGCTTTCGAAACTCTTTCGCACCAAGTTGACGACAAGTTTCTCGAGAAATTTGGCGACATATTGCGGCAGTAGATTGGTCTTGTTTTTCTCAGAAACTTGTAGCCAACTTGACGCCAACAGTTTCAAATTCGGAAGTTGACCGCAAGTTGTCGGTAAGTTGGTGGCAACTATCTGACACCAACTTGGTTGGTCTGAAACTGTAGCTATCAGGGGTTTCTTGTATTTTTGTTTTGATTAACGACATCTGTTAATCTAGATTTAGTTTTGGGGTTTTGATATAACCTGAAATTGTATCACGTGTGTTTTGTTTATTTGTAATCTTTTTCATTGACTTATTTAATTGATTTTGATAAATAAATTGTTTATTTTATCTTTATCATAACCCGTTTGACTTTTCGAGTTTATTTCTTTAGATTTAGTTATCTATTATGCTATTTACATTTAATTGAGTTTGTTTTGGCTTTTTATTTTCGGTTTTGTTATATTTTGTAATCCCCGTTTATGACCCTGAACTTCGGCGAGCTTCAGATTCGAGCAACGGGGGCGTTTGTGTCGCAGTATCGTTCATTTGTTTTAGTTTATTTAAAAACACTCAAAAATTACCCGTTACAAAATTAAATAAAATTTTTTTGTAATTTAAAAAAATCTTTATCAATAATAAATTGTAAAAAATTGTTCTTAATAGTAAATTTAAAAAAATAAAATTTATAACATTTTTTTCAATATTAAATTTTGTAAAGTTTTCAATAATAAATTTTACAAAATTACTAAATGATGAAATAAAAAATTCCAAATCAATAATTATAACAATAATCACCTATGAGGATTAGGATAACGTTTCCAAAACCCCTGTGCAACTTGACTCCAGTTGAATTGAAACACCGTATTAGACTCATAGTACTTAACCATTTTTATGAATTAATTACACCAACCAATAAATAAAACAAACTCGATTTTTTAGAATTTTTATCTCAAACCTGAAAAAAAAAAATATTATCAATGAAAAATAAATAAATAATAAAATTTCTTATCTCTAAAATAATTTTACATACCCATTAACAATAACTACCCACTAATAACAATCATGATACTATTAAGTAATATTTTCAACAGTAATTCATTATAAATAATTAATTACATAAATAAAATATAAACTAGTTCCGTGACCTAGTTTTATAATAAATTGCACTAAAATTACATAATTGCGGCTAGTTAAATTAAATAAAAATAATTTTAAATTATTCAACAAAACATAAAAAATATTCTGTGTTTATAAATTCAATAAATGTTGACAATAATAATGATAATAATAACTAGTAAAATGCAGTGAAACTTACTTGCAAAAGCTTTTTTAAAAAAAAAAAAGTTGTCACATAACCCCAAAAAAATATTCAAACTTAATTTGAAAGTTGTGCTTATAACACCAATTTTATTAATAGATTAATAAATATCTTGATAATAGATAAGTCGATTGTTGAACAGAAATTTCTAGAGTCTAGAGTCTAATTTTCATAGACATACTATGACTGTTTGTTGTTTTTATTATTGATGTTTTATTTTATCGTGGACTTTATACACTCATGAATATTAACTTCATGGCGAAGCTTTACGCATACACGTCGTTTTCGCATAAGTGTAACTTACCGACTGGTGATTTGAATAAAAAGATAAGACTTACATCGCCATCTATAGAAAATTTTTGTAACCTATTTATTCAAATTCGGTGAGACAAATCTTGATCAATATATCGATATATCTTGATTGGACGTTATCCAAAAGGCGGACATTTTAGAAAGGTACATATGGACATTTTGTGTAATCATAATTAAGTTAGCCGATATTAAAAATTTTTAAAATTTTCTTTTAATGAAAAAATTATTTAAAAAAATTTACATTTGTGAAAAACTTGAAAAAATATTAGTGAAAGATTTAAAAAGTATTTTTTAGTTCTAATTTAATAAATGAAAAAAAATAAAAAATTTTTAACGTCGACTAAGTTTATAGTATTATTTTTGTACAAATAGATTTTTTGCTTGAATAGTATTAAGGTAAAAAAAAATCTGGAAAACGGTTGACCCTAAAGACCATCCCTGCAACTTCCCGTTAATAACATATCTAAGCGCTTAAAATTGCACTTATGACGTTTTTGAGCTCTTCGAGCTCAAAAATATAATTTGTATGTTATTTTGAGTTCTCCGACCTCATAGAGTAAGCTGTTCTAAGCTATTGAGCTCTTTGAGCTCAAAAGTCTAATAGACGTTTAATAAAACAGTTTTTTTTTTAATTTTCAAACTGCAATAATTTCTGAATGAATGAACTGATTTTCACGCAGTTTGCAGTATTCCACGCAGTTTTTTTAATTCTAGGATATACTTTAGAACACAAACTGATCGAACCGAAAATCTTAGAGAAATTTGAAAAATTCACTTTTTTCGAATTTTTTCGACAACGATAACTCACGAACCAATGAACCGATTTTCACGTTCTTGTAGGCGATCGACGTAGTTTTTAGGTTCTAATAATTATTCTATTTAATCAAAAACGATCCAAAAAGAAATGTCGAAGTTATGTGAAAAAAAAACACTTTTTTCGAAATTTTTCGTTTTCGATAACTCTCGAACGAATCAACCGATTTTGACGGGACTAGTGGCAATTGACGTGGTTTTTCAAACTTAAGAGCGGATTAGTTTTTGGAATTGATCGGTGCAGCCGTTTAGAAGTTATTCCAAAAAAACGATTTTTTAAAAAATTTATTTTTGAGATTTCTCAAAATCTAGCGAACCGAATCGATTCAAATTTTCACGAAATTGAATGGTAATAATACTTTTTAGATCGCCAATTATTTCGATCCGATCGGCCGAGCCGTTCAAAAATTATGAGAGGTTTACACACACACACACACACACACACACATACAGCCGCACGGACACCATCACGGGAAGAGTCAGGGACCTTAAAACGTCAAGATCTGATGAAAACTCGATTTTTGTAAAACGGGGTGAAACCAATAACTTCCCGATTTTTGAAAATTCTCAATTTTCTTAGCGGGAAGTTAAAAATTATCGTCAAGAAGAAATGGTAATATTATCTTCAAAATAATAAAAAAAAAAGAAAAAAAAAACATAATTATATTTAATGAACACGGAACAAAAAATTCACTTGAATCAAGAAAATAATTTGCAAAAACTTTATCATCTTGATTTGAGTAAAATAATTTTGAAACAAAGAAATTTTTCTTCGTTTAAGTAAATTTTATTTGATTCAAAAATTTTTTGTTTTGATTTAGGAATTTTTCTCTTGATTCAAGTTCATTTTTTTTTTTTCAGTGTAATACTATAAAAGTTAGCCGATGTTTTTAATTTTGTCTATTATATTAAATTTGAACAACAAAAAATAAAACAATATTATTAAGCTGTAATTTTCAATCCGTGGCTTTCCATAAGATAGATAAGGAGATTAAAAAATAGATTGAGTTGAAAGATATATATTTTGAAAAGTAATCGTGTTTGCTCCTTTATAAAAACTTTAAAAATCCACACCAGCCATTAACACCACATTTTTATGTCAAAATATCGATTAATCGATTTAAAAAAAAATTAATAAATTAAAAAATCATTTTTCTATCCGCAAATGTGCTTTTTATATCATTTTATGTATAATATTATTGTAAGATACGATTTAATGTGACAAAAACGTTGAAAAGTATGCAATATTTCAAAACAAGACAGAAATTGTGAAGAAAAATATATTTTTCTTGAACCAAGTTATTTTTGTTTCTGTCTACATAACACATCTAATAACAATAACTCTTCCTTCGACCAAAAGTTTATCAACAACTTAAACTCAATAGCGTTTAAATTGAATCGATAAAGTTTAATTCGTTATGATAAAATTTAATTGAGCAACAAACAGCAATAAAAATAATTGAATATTAATCGATAGGATATTTCAGAGCTTCTATCCTGACTCAGTTTTACCACCGTGTTGTGATCAGCCGTTTGCTATTTTTTGTATTAATAATTAATAATAAATAATTTATCAATCACTTGCAATGAAATTAAGGATGCTTAATTGTTATCTCGGCGATGTAACAAGAATTTTATTTCTCGCGGGATTCGTTCTAATGATTGACGTTGGTTGAGTAGAATAATTGACGTATCACATTCCCTTGTTCATATTGTTCTTTCAATGTTCTGTTAATTCGTTTGATTTTTTTATAGGAAATTTCGTGTCGTAAATCTTACCCGAAAGTTAATCCCAATTGTGGTAATTGTTCGATTTTTATGTTTTTATTCATCATCAAATTTAAAATAACTATTTTCTTTATAAATTGTGCAGAATGCGGTTGGTCAGGTGAAGGATTATCGAACAGAATAGTTGGAGGTTCTATCACGGTTCCACACATATTTCCGTGGATCGCGGCAATTTTTTATAAAGGCGCTCTTCATTGTGGTGGTACTCTGATTAATGATCGATATGTTCTGACAGCTGGTCATTGTATTAAATGGTAATAAGTGAATTAACTAGGTCTGCTTCATTTTTGACAAATTTTTTTGTCTACAATTCGTGATAAAAAATGTGCATTGCTTCAAAATTGTGGCAAAAAAGTTATAGACTTACAAGAAAATTGCGAAGGACTTTTTTTTATAGAAAATCAAATTATCCATAAAATATGTCTTTATTATTTTTTTTATTTTCAAAATTTTAATAATAAACAATTTGCAATACATACACAGAAAGAAAAATTTCTTGACTGGAGGACAAAATTTTTGGCTCAAGAAAATTTTCGGTTACCTGAAGGAAGACCAAAGTTGTGTTGGTCGAAGTAAAAATTTTTCTTGAAATTCTATTCCTGGTGGAAGTAATTTTTTCTTAATTCAAATTATCATAAATACTTGATACAATAAATTTTTATATTTGATCAAGATTTTTAGATACTTTAGGGAAGCAGCGCTACCTACTTCAGCTGAGAAAAAAATTTTCTCACCTTGAGAAAATTTTTCTCTTGAATATTTGATACCCATTTTATATTATTTTAGCGTGCAATTATACATATTGAATGAAAAAAAATGATTCAATATTATTTGATCTTCCTATTTGACATGTTAATCAATAAAAATATTAATGAAGATTTACTTCTATCTCTATATTGAATTTTTTGGAGCAAGAGAGAAATTTTCTCAAGACAAAAAAATTTACTTCTATCAAGAACTAAATTTTTTGGAGCAAGAAGCTGAATTTTCACAAAACAAGAAGATTTTCTTGACTTAAATAAATTTTCTTGGACCAAGATATGTATTTCTTAAAACATGATAATTAATTGTGTTGGAATAAATTAAATTTCTTGTGTTAAAAAAAAAATTTTTTTTTCGCTCAAGAGAATAATTTGGAAGAAAAATATTTTCTTGGTTCAAGTGAACTTTTTTTTCTGTGTTCTATTTTCAACCCCAAACCCGAAAATTGCGATTAAATTTCCTTGCTCTTGCTCTTGCTTTTTGGGGTGTACCCTAATTTTTGAATGGCTGTAACTCAGAAACTAACAGACCGATTGACTTGATTTCTCAGAAATTAATCAACTAATAATGGCCCCTATGTCCCTACAAATTTACGAGAGTCAATTCTTATTTTTTTCAGATAAAATCAATATTTTAATTTTCACAAATTTTTAGTACAATTATAAACTATTAGAACTTCAACTCAAATTTCTGACCAAAGGATTAAAAATACAAAAAAATTGATAAGCACCTTTCTTGTAGAGAATAAAATTGTCTACAAAAAAGTTCTCATCAATTTTCTTGTATCTCCAATCCCTAACCCAGAATTTCGATTTAAACTTTTTCCAAGGATCGACCACCAAGGTTTGGACGTCGGTTTGGGAATGCACGATCTAAAATCGGCTTCCGAGGGCTACGTAATACCGATCGAGCGTGTAATTCTCCATGAAGACTTCGAAAGCGATTACTTGCACGACACTAACGACATCGCGCTACTAGAACTTACTCGTCCTGTACGTTTCAGCGATACAATCCAGCCGATATGTCTTCCGATGGGAGGTACCGACTTCAATTTAAACTAAATAAAAAATTAAAACATTGAATATTAATTATAAATAATTTATCAGGATCCGATTACTCTGGGCACTTGGTAAAAGTTGCCGGTTGGGGGCGCGTTACAGTAAATGGCGGAGCTTCAAGATACTTGAGACAAGCGACTCTCAAAGTTATGCCCTTTGACATTTGTACCAACACTTCTTTTGGCGATCACCTGACAACATCTATGCTTTGCGCTTACAATGACAATACCGATGCTTGTCAGGTAAATTTTTTTTTTTAATATTTTTAGATGATTCCACACAAAAAAAAAATTAAATTGAATCAAAAGAAAAATTTTTGAACCAAGAAAATAATTTTAAAAAGTTTCAGTCTTCAATCAAGACGAAAAATTTTTTAATCAAATAAAATTTACTTAAACCAAGAAAACTTTTTTACTTGATTCAAGTAAAAATCTGAAGTAAAGATCTGAAGAAACCCTTCAATTAATTAATACAGAAAAGAATTAAAGAAAATTCCGTCTATATAGAAAATTATATAGAGATTAATGGTCGCAATTATGAAAATATATACTTCCGACAAAATGGCGTTTGACAAACAATATGACCAATTTTCGATGGAAATTTTAGCCCTTAATTGTTTATAAAAATATAAAATATTAATGATTTTGAAAAAAAGGGCCTCCATGACTTTGAAAACATATTTTGGATTGATATTTAATTTTTTTAGTTTGTAAATTAATTTTAAATATATGTGTATTGCAAAAATAAAATGAAAATTTGGTTTTTTCAAGGGTGATAGTGGCGGTCCGTTGCTTTATGAGAGAGCCAATGGAAGATATGAACTTATTGGTAATTATTTTTTGTTTAAGAAAATATTTTAATAAAAATTTTTGATGAAAAAATTTGACTATTAGATTTTTATGAAAAATCTATCATAAAAATATTCCGATAAAAACTTTTGATGAAATTTTTATGAAAAATTTGAGATTTTTATGCAAATATTTTAATCAAAAATTTAAATAAAAATACTTTATGATAAAATTATTGACAAAAATATTCTACTAAAAATTTTTGAAGAAAAAATTTGATAAGATTTTTATAAACAATTGTTGATAAAAAAATTCTAATAAAAATTTATTCTTTATAAATATTTTTCAATAAAAAATATTTGATCAAAATTTTAATAAAAATTTTTTTTTTGAACAGGAATCGTATCCTGGGGAATAGGATGCGCGCAACCAGGTGTACCCGGTGTGTATGTTAAAATAACAGACTACTTGATATGGCTGCAAAGTCATACGAAAGGTGCAGTTTACTGTTTAAATAGATAAAAACTAAGCAATTTGAAAAACTAAAAAAAATGATTGAATTTTAAAAACAATAAATGAATTATTATCAAAACTCATAACTATAAATAAAGAATGGAAAATGATTGATTAATTTTTAAAATTAAACGGCTGTACAATTTTTATGAGGCGATAAATAAAAATCGATTAAAAGTAAATCGACTTTGAAAGTAATCTTATATTTATAGTTAACAATACTTTTCTCTTATCGCAAAAAGTATTTTATTTTTACACACTTACAATTATCAATCTAATTAATTCGTTTACAGAAATATTTAAAGTATTTACAGATTTATTAATTTAAGATAAAAAAGATAAAATATATTTAAATATTTTTGTAAACACAAGACACTTTTAAATATAATTTATAATTGATAAAACTTAAATTAACAGACACATAAGTAATTTTTTATTTTTAACAAATCAAATTATTAAGAACAAAAAAAAATTAATGATTGTCAAGTAAATTTAAAAATTTCTAAATGTCTGCTAATTTTTAGTATAATTTACTTTTTTTTTAATTGCGCATCAAACACTAAGTGCTCAAACGTGGAAATAATTTCAGCGAAGGAATAACAAAATTGAAAAATTTTGAATAAAATTAATGAGTTGTTGCAATAATTAATAATTAATAAATAACATTGGTGGCGTTTGAGCTGCATTGCGAGGTGACAGCTTCTTCTAGAGTGCAGTCAAGCTTACGGTAATTCGCGGTACTTGGTCGCCTTCTTCCTCTACCTCCCCGCGATCTTCTTCCTTCTAATAAAATCGCCAGGACCTGAAATTTATTCATCATTAGTCAATAAATTTTATTAATTAAAATAATTCAAATATTAAAAGTATTTTTTTTAATTTTATTATTAACTAGACCTGTATTTCTGTAAACTAAAAAAAAAAATAATTCGAGAAAAAAATTATTCACCAAAAAAAATCATTTTTAAAAACTTCATCTTATCTTAAATAAAAAAATTGTTGAACTAACAATTTTTTGTTGATTTAAATAAATTTTACTCGATTTAAATAATTTTTATTTAGAGACAAGAAAATCGAATAATTTTACAGTTCAAAAATAAATAATTTAAATAATTACAGTAAATACTGCTCTGATTTTAATTATATGTAAAATATCACAATCTAACACTCCTTATTTTTAATTTAATTACATACAAAAAATTTTTTTAATTAAATTATAGTAAAAAAAACTAAAAAAATGTTCTAATAATAAACTAAACAAAAAATTATAAAATAAGATTTAAAGGTTTTAAAAAAATTGATTTTGTTGTAAAAAAAAAAGTCTCAAGTGCTTTTTTTTATTTATTTTTAGAATAACTCCACTTTTAAAAATATTTTTTGACGTGATAACGTCTTATAAATTGATGAACACCGACAGCGCTCACGAAAAAATGTCGCGTTCCGACAGACCGTTCCGCTTTTGTGTTCCTCCTGAGCGTTCCGCCTGAACCTGTGAGTGCAAGCGAAAGCGCGCAACAAGCGATAGAGAGGCCCAAGCATTGGCTTACTTATGACATATATCTCTCTTTTCGCTTTACAGACAACCAATTTTTTTTTAATTTAATTGAGCACCCCATGCTTTTTTTTCATAAAAAAATCATTTTTTTTTTTTTTTGTTGAATACTTTAATCTTATTTTCTACTTTCGATTTAGTTTATCGAAGAGTTTTTTTTTTTTCAATTTTTTGGAGCTATAATTTATTTTACAAAGTTGAAAGATTCAAAATTAATCAAATTAAACTTTTTTTTTAAATTATGTAGAAATTAATTTCTTCTTTAAAATCAAAGAAATTTTTTTAAGAAATGTGTTTATTTTTTTTCTTTCAACTGTAAATTGATATTGAATTTAATTGTAAATTACCTTTTGCTTATGATGATAAAGCACACATCCACCCATAGCACAAATGAGTCCTAATATTGAAAAGTACCCAAAGAAATGTGAGTCGTCTTCCTTGGGCATATTACTTAATCTCGGTACTATATCTTCTTTTATCGTCTCTTCTTCTTGTGTTCCGGGGCTTTTTACTGGAGCTTCTACGTCTGGAAGAAAATATTTTTCTATAAAAAATTATATTAAATTAAGATTCGAAAGTTGAGTAAAAATTTTATTAGAAAATTTGAATTTTTTGGTAAGTTATAGAGATTTTATTTACCTATATCATCCCCGTCGTCATTTCCAGTGTCTGGATCTGGAAAATAAAATTTAGGATTAGAAAATATTAACAAATTTATTAAAAATTCATTTTTAAATAAATTATTTTATAGAAAATATAAAATTATTTTTAAATTAATAATTCAAAATTTAAAATTAATAATAAACTAAATTTTTAATTAAAAAATCAACAAATTTGAAGTGAAAATTTAATATTTATATTTAATCAAGTATAATTACTAAAGATTTTGAATATAACTCAAAACCATTTAAAAAAATTAAATTCAAACCAAAAATTAAAAATAATAATATTTATAATAAGTTAAGAATTAAAAACTAAAATAATACAAAATTTTATTATAAAAATTAACTAAGTAATAATTTTGTATTCAACCCAGAATCATTAAATTCAAATAAAAAATTTCAAACTTCAAATAAATTGCAATTATTATAATTATTATCATAATTTTTCTTTTTATTTTTATTAATTACTATTATTTTCTTGGGTTGCAATTGCTAATCCATCAATACCTATCAAATTACTGTACTATTCAAGTCATCTTGTTATACATTACAAATATGTTATATGCTAACTATTGTAATTATTAACCATGTTAATGGCTTAAGCTGTTGGGTTTGTTTATTTAAATAAAAAATTATGATAAAAAATACAAATAAATATAATAAAAATTATTAAATAAAAATTGAAAATTCCAATAAAAAAAAAATTTTTTTAAAAACTACAAACCCGTAGGATCAAGATTGCCATTAATTTCCGAAGGAAAAGCTTCTTCACCAGTAGGGATAGGATTATCCAGCACACTATCACCTTTTTCCCCCAAAAGTTTATCACCATCACCCTCAACTTTCTCCAGTTTCTCCCCCTTCCCCTCACTGACCGGAAGGGTCTTATCGTCCACCTTGACCTCTTTTTTATCTCCAAGCTTTCCAGCATCAACCTTCTTATCCTGAACCTGAACATTTTCTTTAGCTTTCTCAGCTTCCTTCACTTGCTCCTTCTTATCTTCTACCTGGACCTGCTTCTCCTGAACCTGGACCTTCTCTTTTTTCTCATCCTGAACCTTTTTAGAACTAGTCACCAGCAGATCATCAACAGCCTGGTCCATAAAGTAAATCAAGACACACAGGCCCCTGAGCCTGTCCTTTTCCACACACAGGTCCATGCAAGTCTTGTCCTTCCTCAGGACTACGGACAAATCATCAACAAACTTCTGGGTTTTTTCGTACCTAAAAGTCTCATTGATCCTCCAGTGCCTACAGACCTTCCCGAAAATTTCAAAGCCCGGATCCTGGGCCAGGAAATTTCCTACCTTGGGATCAAGCTCTGCAAGATTCGGAGACTTGGTCTTGGTGTGGTTGCAGAGCTTGACGGCTTTGTGCCAGACCGCCGAGCACAAGAACTGGTTGATGTTCTGGCTGGTGACATTTGACTCAGTAGGCAGCGTCAGGTTTCCACAGACCTGGGTGAACTTGGAGGTCTTGATCACTGACGACACTGGACAGACATTCTGATCCCCGGTCAGCTGGGACAGAATAGAGGACTGGTCCGTGGTGTTCTTCGTGATGTTCTTCGTGATGTTCTTGCTGGTGCTGCTGGAGACGCTGCTGTTGCTGCTACTGCTGGTGATGTTCTTGTCTACAACTATCGAGGCTTCGGTGGTGAGCAAGTAAATTAGCAACAGTCCATAGATTATCTTCAACATTTTAGGTTAGTTCTTTTATAATTTATTTATTTAGAATTAATATTATGAATACTTAGGTTGAGGTCAGACTTTTCTGGATTTACATTATTGGTTACACTTGATACTTCACTCTTGCTGGTAATGATTCGTAACAGAAAGTTGATGATGATTAGAATAATTAGAATAACATTGTGGTGAATTTTGATTTTTAATTGTAGCTTTTTTAGTCGTTTGATTTTTTGTTTGTTGATCAACCGGTGAATAAATAAAATAAGTATAATGTTTCTAGGTTTGGTGATCACTGATACGAGTGACGCACTTGCTTGGACGGTAAGTAAATTGAAGTGTTGGTAATTAAGAAATTAGAGATAATCGCGCGTCGACACATACAGCCAAAGGGTAATGTAGGATGAGAAAGGTTTCAAAGAATAGCTAAAAGATGGCAGATACAGTTTTAAAATAACAGAAAAGAAAAATTAAAATTAAGTTAGCCGACATCTAAAAACTTAGAATTTTTTTTATTGAAAAAATTGTTACAAAAAAAAGAAAATAAAAAAATTCATTCGTAAAAAACTTTAAAAATGACACTAAAGTTAGCAGACGTCTAAAATTAAAAAAATTTTTTTTATTAATTAAATTACAATTAAAAAAATATTTGTAAAAAAATTGCACTTATAGTTTTTCAAGTTTTTTACATGTGAAAATTTTTTTTTAATTGTTTGATTGAAATTTTTTCAATAAAAAATTTCTAAAAATTTTTAAATGTCGGCTAACTTAATTTTCATACTTTAAAAACTATAAGTGCCATTTTAAAAAAATTTTTTTTTGTTCTTATTTAATGAATGAAAAAAAATTTTAATTGTCGGCTAACTTTAGTATTATAAAATAAAATACTAGTCGTAATTGAGACGTTCCAAAAGACAGTATGTACTTTTATTAATTCATAAACAAAGAACAGAATAGTACAGCCATATGATTGTCAATTAGAAATTGATACTTCACGGAGAGACTTGAAACATATATATATATATTTATAGAATAATTTTAATTTTATTTTTCTAAAATTTTTATGGGTGGAATTCAAAAGAAATTTTCTTTTTGTTGAGGAATCATAGTTAGACGAAAAAAATTAGAATCATCAGATGTTGTCATGAAAAATGTATGAGCCATTATTGTTGATTAAAAATCGACGAATTTTTTGAAAAAAGAGAAGGCAAATTAAAAAAAAAAAAACTAAATTACGAAAAAAATATTTTTACAATGTAAAAAGGAAATTAAAAAAAAAATTAAATATATTTTGTGGAACTTTGAAAAGTTTTGTGAGAATTTGGGAGTATAAGTTTCTAAGTTTTTTATAATGAATTAATTGCTGTAATAAATGGTGAAATACTGTTCGTAAATAATGATGATGTGTTTTGTAAAAAATAATTTAAAATAGTTGATAAATCACACGAAAATATATGGAAGATTGATAAAAAAACGCAAGTTAATGCTTTAACAAACCTCGGCAGGAAATAATATGCAGAAGGGTAATAAACACTTCAGGAACTTCCAAGTGTTTTACAGCTAGCTTTCATCACTTAACTGCTATTTCTCTACCGTTCTGATGATGCTGCTGCTCGAGGGTCACGTCTTGATCAAGCTCTTCGCCAACTTTCTGCTGCTGATGGTCTTCGCACCTTGAAGTTCTGATCCGCTGGTTTTCACTTTCTAGATTTGGACAGAAAATAATTGTTAATATTTGTTATTCTAATATTAAATTTAAGACAAGATTTTATATTTACATTTTTTTATGCACTCAAATTGAACTTTTTGGGTTGTACCGATTTTTTATGGTAAATTTAAGTGTCACTGATAATAAAACTCCGCGAAAATTATTTTTTGATCAATTATTAAAATTATTATTATGATGGAATGTTATTTGTTTTAATTCATCACGTTTTACTGTTTATTTTTTATAAAAATTTTCTTGGATAAAATTCAATTCAATATTGATATAAATTGCCAATAAATTACAATAAATTTCAGAATATTATTTACTAATATCGACAAAAAATAAAAAAATTCTACTTTTCCGATCATACTTAAATCATAATACATCTTACAATTTTCAAAGCTTCTAAACAGAATCAATTACGATAAGAATTCTTATTTTTCAAAACATATTTTTTAAAATTCGCACTTGTAATTTTATAATACTGAAGTTAGTCGTCAGCTGTTAATTTTAAAAATTTTTTTAATGAATCAATTACAATAAAAAAATGTTTCTAAAAATTTTCACTTGTAATTTTTATTAATTTTTACATGTGGAATTTTTTAATTAAATTTTTTTTTATCATAATTTAATTGCTATAAAATTCTCAAAAAATTTTTAATATCTGTCAACTTCAGTATTGTGTAATTTTTGTCAATTTCTTCATGTATAATTTATTAACCAAATTTTTTTTATAGTAAATAAATTGTAAAAATTAAAAATATTGTTAAATGTTAGTTCATTTCACTACGAATTTTTCGATAATACAAAAGTTAGCCGACGTTTTTAATTTTTTTTTTAATTATTAAATTGAACTAAATAATATTTTTCAAAAAGTACTCTTATAGTTTTTAAAGTTTTTTTTACAAACAAAACTTTTTTATTATTTTTCTCTAATAATTTTTTCAATAAAAAAAATACTAAAAATTTTTAGATGTCGGCTATCTTAATTTTCATAATTTTTCCACCATTTTATCGTCTCTAATTAAAAAAATAATTAATTCCAACAAACTATTAAACTAATTTTTACTAAAAACTAAAACAATTCACTAAAAACTGTCACTTAAACTTTAAAAACAGCAGAAATAATCGACAACTACTTTTGTACTCTTCTCAGAATTCAAAACACTGAAATTGCGGGTGTGTCGAGATTTGTTAAACTGTCGAGTGCAGTCGGTACGGACTGGCACTGTGTACCGTATCACAGTGTCCCGAGCACTCCGCTTGCCGCTCGCAAAACGAACTGCGCAGTAGAAGCAACGGTTGAGCAGTAGTGATTGCGCATGCGCGGAATTTAAATTCAACCAATCAGGTTGCGTCGATGTCTCTAGAATTCAAGATGGCGCTACATCCTTCTTCCTTCTTCTTCTCAATCCAGCTCGGAACGGTAAGTAGATGTGAACGCGACCGTCTTAGACCCACCGTTGCGCGTTCGCTGCCAGAAATAATGAGTTTTTATTTGATTTAGTTGATTATTTATTAAATATCTAGTAGTTTTATGAGAGTAATAAAGAAAATTATTAATAAATGTGAAAATAAATGAAAAATCAAGTAATTTTCAAATAAAAATGATGGAGGTATGAGAATAGCAGATATTAGATATGAAAATTTATTGTTTTTTTAAGAAAAAATTTGATATTACTAATTTTTAATTATTTATTATTTATTCATGAGTTAAATTATCAATTTAGTAATTTTTTATTTTAATTTAATTTATTTGATAAATTTATAGAAGAAACTTATTTTTTGATTTTTATAACAAATATTTTCGATAATTAATTTTTTTATTTACAAAAATAAAATTAGATATTAAAAGTCGGCTATTTCAAGTATCAACCGATTTTTTGAGAAATAATAATAATTTAATAATTGCATAATAGTTCAATTAAATATTTGATTATAATTATTATCAAAAGGAATAGGAGCGAAATTGAAAATAACAATAATAATAATAATGATAAAGAAATTAGCATAAATTTAATGATCTGCTAGTTTTTATTGAAATAAAAAATTATAATATAAAAAAGTAGAGTAAATTTTTTAGTTTAATAAAAACTCAAAAATTTTAATTATAATTTTTTTTTTCATTAATTTAATTAGATAATTATAATCTTACATAGTTAAATGTTTTAATTTTTTTTTTTAAATTATTGATGGTTTTTTGAGTTATTAACAAAATTTAGTATTTAATAATTCTGTAAAATTAATATTTTATAAGAAACTATCAATATTCGAGAATAATGAGTAACTTTAGTTTTACAATTATTATTATTACTATAATTACAAAAAATAATTTAACGAATTCTAGAGTATAAAAAAATATTTAAAAATGACTTCTTTATTTAAAAAACGACAAATAAAAATTTAGATTTTTAGATTTATTACATTTAGATTTATTCAAGATAATTTTAATAAAAAAAAAAAAAAACAGTAGGAAGTGATGAATTAAATTAAATTAAAACAAATAATATTTTATAATGCTCCAAATTTAAATAATTGATCGAAAAATAATTTTCGCGGAGTTTTATTATCAGTGACACTTAAATTTACTTTAAAAAATCTGTATAATCCAAAAAGTTCAATTTGAGTGCATAAAAAAAAATAAGTATAAAATCCTGTCTTAAATTTAACATCACAATGATAAACATGAACAATTATTTTCTGTCCAAATCTAGAAAGTGAAAACCAGCGGATCAGAACTTCAAGGTGCGAAGACCATCAGCAGCAGAAAGTTGGCGAAGAGCTTGATCAAGACGTGACCCTCGAGCAGCAGCATCATCAGAACGGTAGAGAAATAGCAGTTAAGTGATGAAAGCTAGCTGTAAAACACTTGGAAGTTCCTGAAGTGTTTATTACCCTTCTGCATATTATTTCCTGCCGAGGTTTGTTAAAGCATTAACTTGCGTTTTTTTATCAATCTTCCATATATTTTCGTGTGATTTATCAATTATTTTAAATTATTTTTTACAAAACACATCATCATTATTTACGAACAGTATTTCACCATTTATTACAGCAATTAATTCATTATAAAAAACTTAGAAACTTATACTCCCAAATTCTCACAAAACTTTTCAAAGTTCCACAAAATATATTTAATTTTTTTTTTAATTTCCTTTTTACATTGTAAAAATATTTTTTTCGTAATTTAGTTTTTTTTTTTAATTTGCCTTCTCTTTTTTCAAACAATTCGTCGATTTTTAATCAACAAAAATGGCTCGTACATTTTTCATGATAACATCTGATGATTCGACCTTTTTTTTCGTCAAACTAATTCCTCAAAAAAAAAAATTTCTTTTGAATTCCACTTATAGAAATTTTATAAAAATAAAATTAAAATTATTCAAAAACATTTATTTATTAATAATTTTTAAATGCAAAAAAAAACCAGAAAATTTTCTGATAATTTCAAAATTTATCAAAAACATTTCTACTTTTCTTATACTTCAAATTATAAATTATAAAATATTATCAGATGTCTGATTTACTTTCTTATCATAAATGTTATTTTGTTATTTTTTTTTTTTTGTAATTATTATCATAAATTCTTCTTCACTTTCAAATAACATTCTAGTGGAACAGCTCGAGTAACAAAAGTAATTAAAAAAAATATCTCCAGTTAGCGTTTGATTCCCTTCGTATAAATATAAAGAAAAATATATAATTTATTTATGTATTTAGATAAATAAATTTAGTTTAGAGTACAGTAAGTTGATATGTGAGCCTCTAAGTCGCCGAGGCGAGGGAGAATATTTTCTTCCTGACGTTCATCATACTTGGGTGGTAATAGGAGTATTCAGAGGTACCAGGTTTTTTCGCTGAATCTGGAATAGGCATCGTTTGGCAGGTTATCACTTCGACTTTGTGTTTGTGAGGTGATATACTGTGCAAATCCAACGCGCGTTTTATTTGATCTGCTTTCAGTGCATCTGGAACGTCCTGAAATAATTGAATAATTATTTTAGTTCAATGAATTTTATAAAATTAAAAAAAAAAATTTTTTTTAATTAATTTTTAATATACTAAGTAATTAAAAACTTTATTTATAATTTTTCACAATAAATTTACTGAATTATAAAAAAATTTTTATCCGGGAAGTTAATGAAATATTTATTTTTTGCTTCAAATATTTTGCGAATTTTTTTTTAAATATTTTTTTTTAATTGATAAAACTTACTTGTTTATTAGCAATTACTAAAATAGGTACATTATCCATCCTACTATCCCCTAAAATTTCTTTGAGAGACAAAACAGCCTGAGATAGTTGATTAGCATCACTTGCGTCGACCATAAAAATCAGGACATCAGTATCTTGGAGAAAATTATTCCAGTGTTTTCTCACTTCATCAGATCCTCCAACTGAAATTTATTTACATTAATTATTTATTTGTAAAATAATAATTTAAGTGTATCCTTGAATTATTAAAATTTCAATCAATTTTTTTTTTACAAGAATTTTTTTTATTTCAGATTCCAAATTTAACCATAAAAACCTATTTTATCATATAAATATACTGGCCACAAAATTTTGCTTATTCTCTTAATAATATAAACTAGCAACCTTGCAGTCACTATGTGACTGCCGTGACTTGTGAACTATAAATAAATAAAACTTTTCTTAATTAAATAATGACTTTTGTTGCACGGTACTTTATAAACTATTGGCGGTTTTAAAGATATAAGCTGATCCCGATCTTACACTCATCAAGAGCTTTCATTTGAGTACCCACATGCATTTTGATATATTTTTCATATATACATATATATAATATATATAAATATATGAAAAATTGATATGGGTACTCAAATGAAAGGTCTTGATGAGTGTAACATCGGGATGAGCTTATATCTTTAAAAATGTCAATCGTGCACAAGATACACGGTCATTTCTTAATTATTGATATTTTTAAAGATATAAGCTCATTTCGATGTTACACTCATCAAG